ACTACTTCAAAAGGCTGTGGCTGGTTTCCATAGCAACCATTTTGAGTAAAACTCTAGAAATTTAATTTCTCTTCTTGAGTGCAATAGCACACAATTGATATTTCTTCACCATATTTAAACAAACTTTTTGGTCCATATTGAGGGTACCATACCACCTTAAGGTCGCTATCATCTAGTACAGTACGGCAGTACGGGTGAACTCTGCCTAACACCTAGTTGTATTACCGACTCCTTTTTTTGTCCCGCACGCTGACTAGTTAAAAATCGTGTTTCAATTAAACAATTAGATTATGAGCTCGAGATTTCCATCACGTAATAGTTGACGACGAGGGCGCAGCCCTCGTCAACTATCACGCATAAAAATCGAGAGCGAATAATCTAATTTTTTAGGATAAATATACTAGTCGTTTAAAACTTTGTCTCACTCCTCTTCAGACACTTCGAAAACTCCAAGAAGCGGCCGTTAGTTTGTTAGCTAGGGCAGACTGCTACGCTACTATCTATCACAGAATGAATGGTGGGTAGCGTGGCCAATCAGACAACGGCATTCGTGATAGAACGCCAGTAGATTTATATTAAAACTCGATGAACACGGTACATGACTTCTATTTCTTAAATAATTTTACCCCCGACTCATACGGCCACTCAAACCAATTCTGTCAGTTACGTTCGTCTTTTCTATTGTTAATTTGGTCTGTACTGGTTGAAGTTTCAATTAACATTTATTCTTAAATGACATCCGCATTCCGGACGCCTATTAAAGATCAGTTGTTTAGAAGTGCAATTGTGATATATAAGACGTCACTCAGTTTAGACCAGTCGTGACCCTACCCTATTAATACAGACAAATTTTCATGACTCGTTACTGGTGACCGTATTACCAGGGCTCTACCGTACTTGTTTCCCTGGCCGACCAAGAAAACACCACATACACAAGAAGCGTTTTCTTCACTTGCATGTCTTTTATTATGTACACATAAAAATATAAGAAGCAACTTCTGCTATTGCCTTTTTACATAATAGTTAACAAATCTGACAACTTATGCTGTTGTGACGCACAAATCTATGAACAATTGTTACATCGTTAGACAAATGCCGTATTACATGCGTTACAGTTCATACAACTTCCACAAACAAAAAAAAAATTACAAAAACAAGTTATCTAACTGGCAACTTAACTATTTATAGTCCTAAGAAGACTACACACAATGTCGCGTAATTCGTCAAAAACAATACAAAACATTACGCAACATTCTGTAAAATTAGAGAACTACAATATTCAGTCTTTATGTCGACCGCGGGCGCGGTCAATGAGGAGATTATTTCCTAAGCCCAGAAATGACGACTCTAGAAGTCGATCACTGTCTGTGATTCACTTCATTCGAAGATTGAAGGTAATTTTGTGTTCCCTTTGTTTTGCGGCAACTCCTTCGTCTAATTAATACAACATACTTCGATCAATTCCTGTTCTTCTGGGGATCTGAAAATTTTCATTTCCAGTAATAATTAATTTATAACTTCTCCTGCATATGTCAAAACGTAATTTGACTCAATAGAAACTAATTCTTAATTCTAGAAACTTTACTGAGTCGGAGCCGAGAATAACTACAAGCATGATAAATTGGTGAATTAAAACCACACAGTTTCCTTGCACTGTGAAGAATTCACTATAACCAGGCTCTTTTTGGTGTAACTTGAAATATTTGTTGCTTACGAGTATTGACCGGCCCAAACTATGCCATAAGTTATTTAATGTGGGGTGCATGTCGGTCAGACGTAACAAAGCACAAAAAGAAAGGCTCCAGAAAGCGGTTTTCTGTTAAAGACAGAAAATACCAGCTGAATCGTTAGCAGTGTCTTAATACATTGAATAACGTCACAGCGAATCAAAATCTCGCGTGACCCTTGATAAGGCAAACAAACAGTTACCGCTCAAATTGCCAATTTGAAGACACCTACGGTTTATTCGTAAACCTGACGTGAAAGTCATTTTAACGACTGATCGTGTACCGCTTAAATGCAGTACCCTCAGAAGTGTCTACATGTTATAGGCCACGTAAATGGGATCCAATTGATCCCCTAGGAACCCGTCCCTCAAATGCATTCGTTGTTTCTCTCCACGAGAATTGATCGGCACCACACCAGGGTCTACCACCACCACCACCCCCACGATCAGCTGTTGTTCATTTAACACCGATGACGTCACAAGGGGAACGACGTCAAGTGCCTCGCTTTCCTCCGCGTCAAGTTCCACTACAACCACAAGCAGGTTAGTCCATGTGAACACCGCACTGGGGAGGGAGAGGAAGAAAAATACAAAAATAAATTAGTTTCACTCGTTGTGGCTACAAGGTACGGAATTACTCTGGTTTTCATATGGTTTGCATTTTTTCTCCTTCACTTATAGAAAGCTTTCACTCACGCGGCCAGCAGCCATGCACAAAAGAAAGCGTTTACATAAGGAAAAAGTTCAACTCCCACAGGATTGGTTTGGTACACCAACATGGCTGCCGTAACGTCATGTGAAAACACTATAAAAAACATGTTTAAATTTTCACGTGATACGAAATAACGCCTACAAAGGTTTGTTTTTCCAAATTATCGTTCGCGTGGCCGGAAAAGCATACTGTAACTCCAGTCAGTCCTTTTTCTGTTAAAGCAAATCCCAAGTGGCCATACGCACCAAAGGAATGCCCTCCAGGCTCATCCCATGAAAGTCCTAAATACTCTTTTTCTTTGGCCATCGTAGCTTGATAAGAAATAACACACAAACTGCGGTGATAAACATGGCTATAAAACGCATGTTAAAAAACAAAGTTCATTTACTTGACGTTTCGTATGTTTCAACATACATCTTCAGAAGTGACCGTTAGGAATAGAAGTAACAACTAAATTTCAATTTAAAATAAGTAACTAATTAACAATTACAATGACAGAAGCTGAGAAAAATTTTCATATCAACAATGCAAACTAATAAAGATAAAGCTTTTCGCTGCTTACATTATCATTTAGGGTGGGTTTTAATTCCCTTATTACCAGAGTCTCTTTTATCTTGCAATGTGTATCTGTCCGACCTATAGCTAATATATCAAAGTGCGCTTATCCCATCAAGTCTTTATTTCCCTACAAAGATAGGATCAACCGTTCCCAACTGTCAAAGGTTGGGAACGGTTGATCCTATCTTTGTAGGGAAATAAAGACTTGATGCGATAAGCGCACTTTGATATATTAGCTATAGGTCGGACAGATACACATTGCAAGATAAAAGAGACTCTGGTAATAAGGGAATTAAAACCCACCCTAAATGATAATGTAAGCAGCGAAAAGCTTTATCTTTATTAGTTTGCATTGTTGATATGAAAATTTTTCTCAGCTTCTGTCATTGTAATTGTTAATTAGTTACTTATTTTAAATTGAAATTTAGTTGTTACTTCTACTCCTAATGGTCACTTCTGAAGATGTATGTTGAAACATACGAAACGTCAAGTAAATGAACTTTGTTTTTTAACATGCGTTTTATTGCCATATTTATCACCGCAGTTTGTGTGTCATGTAAGTCCTGTTTTCAATTTTTTTCTCGCCAAGATGAGATCACCTGGAAATAATTACCCCACTCCCACTCGGGGACTGAAGAGTGGGGGACGGAGGTGTAGATGGGAAACGGAGGTGGGAGAGGAGAGGTAAGCACTAACCTTTCGCAGATTGCTCGGTGACATCTCGTGACTGTGTTCTCTATGTCTACTGGGTGATACCGCATACCACGTAGTATCATGGTCTCATCTAACGGGCCAACCACAAATAAGGCATCATGCCGAGCTGTGAAATACAAACGACATCGTCATGAGCGAGAGAAGCTGTTGAACTGCATAAGCAGCCACCCATAAACAGCGCAATAAACCTAGTCTGCGTGGCAACCGCTCGAGTGATTGTAGGGGAACAGGCACGCGCACTCAATTATTACTCGAACGCCTGCTAAAGCCTGGTTTTCACTAGCGACGCAAGCACAAGCGCAAGCACAAACGCAAACAAAATAATTCTTATTTCACCGTGAAAACGGCCTTGACGCAGGCATAAGCACAAGCACAAGGATCATAATTATTCCTTTTTCTTGTGCTTTCACTTACGGTTGCGTTTGGACTGCAACAAATGAAAACGAGATACCGCTCAGGTATAACACAACCACAAGGATATTTACCACACGTGGTTATGTTTGGCCAATGAAAACACTGGATCCAGATTACCTCGCGCCGAAACAGTTTTTCAAAATGGCGGAGGGTTCGGATAATTTTTCTTGAGCTTGTGTTTGCGTCGAATTTCGTTTTCACTTGGGTCATCCCTACTGCTTGCGCATGTGCTTGCCTCGCTAGAGAAAATCAGGCTTAAGTAAACGTTTACGTTGTAAACAACTAGTACAAATAAACCGCCCTTCTGATTTAAACAGGTCAAGTTTCAAGCAAGATGTCCTCCGTCAAGCAAGAAAACTCTATGGAACAACTAATTAAGTCGTTCAACCGCTAAATCATTCATGCAGTAGAACGCATCCCACCTCCATCGGTCTGAGTAAAATCGGTTCTTTTGATGAATCCCAGATACCCCGTTCGGGCATACGTTACTCCAGTCTCTCCCAGGCCCCCAGTGGTTAGTTTAGCGTTGAAGCGATCTTCTGTCTGGGAATCCTCGCCTGTCATGAAGTAACCGCTGCCATTGTGCGGGCTGTTGACCCAGATCTACAAAATTTGAAAAACAAAAATGCATGATGAAGTTAAGTACATAAATAGGTAACTTAATCATGATTTTCGTGCTACAAAGCATGAGAATAACATGACGTACCTCTCCGAGATGTGAGTCTGCGCACATGCCTTTTGTTTCTGGATTAGCAATCACTACTTTGACACCAGGCAAAATCTAAGACAAGACAAGTCATAAAATAACGATTTATGTAAGAGCAAACGTGATTTTTAAAGCAGCAATACATCCATCCATAATGGTGATGACAGTAAGTGAACACATGAAAAATCATACATTCAGTGTCAGGATACTTAGTGTTTGAAAATAGCCCAAACAAAATACGAGTGCTGATTGGTTAAAAAATCGTGTTTGTATAACTCGATGGAAACAATGAAAAGTTGCCGTAGTCACGTTGTTCGTTGTTTTCTTTAAGCTGTTTTCTAAAAGGATAGAAAACATTTTCTTCTTGTTTCTGTCGAGTTTTAGAAACACTCGTGATAGTTTGGGAAAACCCGAAAAAGCTGCGGAAACACTCGCCTATCGAGCATTTCTCGTTCTCCCAAACTTCCACTCGTTTTGCTTTCTTTAACTCGATGGAAACACGGAAAACGTTTTCTATTTCTTAATTGACAACTAAAAACCGCTCTTACCTTGCCAGATTCCAAGAGGCATAAACTGTGTGGACTTCCTCGTTCCACTAGCGTCACCCTGTAACAGAAAAGTCAGAAAGCGCGAGTCAAAACAAAGTTAAGAAAATTGGTAGTCTTGGATCTGATCACGAGAAATCAGGCGCTCTTTAATGGCCCAACGTGCGTTTCTCAGCGAAGAGAGTCCAAAATGATGAACTGACAACGCAGCAGAAGAGTTCTGAAAATTCCCGGCACGCTGATTAAGAGACAAAGCTCCCGAGTAAAATCGGTTCAAATACGACATAATACCTCACCTGTCGTTTCGTAAGGCCTTCGTATCCACATATACACTAGAGGCTTCGGGAGTCGAGGCACCCTGAAATGAACATAAACGAGTCAGTGCGTGCGTGCGAGCGTGCCGCACGCGTAAATACGTGTCACACAAGTAACGCAGTGTGACATGTGCTCCTTGCACAATTATCGAGAGACAAGTCCGAGATTCATTACCTGCGTGCAAATAGCGACATTGGCTCTGCTTCCAAACGACGTGCTGACTGCGCGAGGAGAGAGGCCCAGGCCAGAGAAAAGAGTTGAAAACGCTGTTGTCAGGTTTATTCTGGGCCGCTCTTCAGCAACCACAACACAGTTCCGAACACAAGTCAAGTTGACGCCCTTAGACTGTGAAAGGAGAAAGACAGCAACATATTAAACAGACACAGAGATAAATTACCAAAATGGAAAAAACATTATCACGAATTTACCCTCTCCGAGATAAATTACCCATCATACCTTGAGTGCCGGTATTGATTGTCCCAGTCCCTTTGTGCATAAATCCATCACGGGGTAAGAACAGAACGTGTCACGAACTGGGGACGAAAAACGGAAAAATGACATCATTAGTAACATCCACATTGACCTAACCAGCAAGCATGGAACAAACGCTCTTTTCACTGCAACTCTTTAATTCCCAATAACCCCTACTTCGACCTTGATTATTCTGGATATCACAAAAACGTCATCCAATAATTGTTTATAATAACATCTATCAAGTTCAATTAGGGGATGTGATGACGCAACACCAGATTCTCACAACAAACATTGTAAGAGATGCATGAAGACTATTTGGGAGATGGTAATAGATGTCCAACAGTAGCCATTAAATAAAGAAAGAATGAGAGATGCGAATGCAGCCATAACACTGGAAAAATGACCTGAAAAAATTTCAGGCTCTGAACGGGATTCGAACCCACGACCTTTACGTTACCGGTGCGATGCTCTACTTACTGAGCTATCAAAGCCACATGAGAGCGGTCGTGTGTGGGTTTGGCCCCATATGTTCAGTGGACGTAATACTCGGCTGAAGTATATGAATTCCATGGTAATAGATGTCCAACAGTAGCATTACTATTTGGGAGAATTTACAGTTCGGCAGCAGTTTACAAAAGGAAACAGTTACCTTTATACTGACTAACTACTGATAACCAAAGAGCTGGATTAGTCTCCAGGTCTCCCGGAGGAATGAGGATTGTGTGGTGTCCAGAATAGACGCTGAAATTTGAAATAAAAGAAATGTCTGAATAAAATAGGATGGGAACAGCAAAGGCAAATTACAAGGGAAAAAAATGAATATTCAAGTATTGGGAGTAGTAACTTACCCTGTCAAACACCAAAGTAGAAATCCTAGTCCACAATAAGGATCAAGACACACAGCGATATCACGAGAAGGGTAGAGCTCACAAGCGAGCTTCATGGAACGACACAGTGCAGTGACTGCTGAATGAGACATCTGCCAAGAAATGGGCAAAAACATTAGTGACTGTCTTAGCTTTGCTAACCTGTCGCAAAATACGAGGTAATGAGTGTAGTCTTAAACACGTCGACAACTGCGGTGTTGAACGTTTGGTTTTGTGACAGTTGAGCAGCACTTTCACGTGGTGTTGTTTCTTATGCTGTATACAAGATGCTTGTAACTTTAAGTTTGCATATGAAACCCTAGTGTGCGACCATTTAAATGAAAGCTATTGAGCGGGACTTTCATGTGGTACTGTTTATTATGCTGTGCAACGTGGTTCCAACTTTCCAAGTCTGTGGATGAAACCCTCGTGTGTGACCATTTAAATGCAAGCTATTAAGCAGAACTTTCACATAACACTGTTTAATGTGATGTGGAAAATAGTTCTAAACTAGTCTGAAGATAATAACGTCAAGAGTGACATTCAAAAAAACCATCAGTGGGTGCATTATTGTAAAACTGACCTTCACTCCAGAAAGCATTCCAGTTGTAGAAACACTAAAATCAAGATAAGCGATCATTTCTGGCGTGGGAGCTCTGTAAGGATTTGTTAACTTCTTTTTAGGAGCATCATCCACCTCCACCACTGTGGGCCATGACTTAATGTCCACCACTCCCACAGCTTCTTTAGATCTTAACGCCTTGCCGATGTTGTGAGTGGTCAACACTGCACGTGACTTGCTGACGTCGATAACCATTTTGACGGTGGGGAGGGTGGAGCTGATGTTGTTGGTGTGAGGGGGACGGACGGGAACTGGAATGAGACCTAAGATGCAAAGTTTTGTCTCAGTATGGTAAATGATTGTGCTGCTGATCTTAGTATTTGATTTTGCAGTACACAATTTAAAAAGTTATTTGCCTTACCAGCATACAGACATGCAAAGACCGCCACTATAAAGTCCACACCTAAGAAGAAAACAACAATGCCAAAAGATTAATTCTCATTACTGATTTTCACATGTTTCTTTAAGGTTAGTTGTGAGAACTTGGCAGTACATTAAGGCAGTAGTCCCTTGTTGATGTATTCCTTCATGTCTGACACCGCACTGATTTTGAAAGGACAGCATAGAAGTTTTCCAATTTTGATATAAAACTACAAGTCGGAAGGCCGATCAAAACACAAATTCAGCTCCAGGGAAATTTAGAAAAGCTCTCAAGGTCCATCAACTAACAGCACGTTACAGGACTTAAGGTAAGAAAAATATAATGACATCTGTAGGATATTTCAAGGAGTGTTGCTCTATATTGTTGCTTACAGTGAAATCGGGTTTATAAGCTATAAACACAGAATTTAATCATCTGCTCTAAAGGTCAGTTGACTGCTTACTGTACACTAAGTCACAGGGATCTTATAGTGATGAACTCGCAAAGAAATCTCAGCCATTCACGGAGTTCACGGCTGAGAGAACTGGAAATGAGAATGAAGACCGACCACTGCACGTAACACGAGTAAGTTACTTTTAAAGCCTCGTACCCGGGCTCTCTCTCCTACGCCTCTCTTGTAAAGAGAAAGAGAGAAAGAGATCCTGCGCACGAGGTTGTTTCAAAGCTTGTGACGTACATACCAGGGGTGAAGAGAAGTGCGACATTATCACCAGAACTGAGGCGACCTTGTTCAACTGCCATCTGCGCTACACGTTCAGCGCGCTTATGAAGCTGGCTTGTAGTCAACAAGGAAGCTACAGTGCCCTGGAATATAAAGAAATAAAATATCATACCTATGCACATTGTCAAATCAATCTATGGGTAANAAAAGAGACTCTGGTAATAAGGGAATTAAAACCCACCCTAAATGATAATGTAAGCAGCGAAAAGCTTTATTTTTATTAGTTTGCATTGTTGATATGAAAATTTTTCTCAGCTTCTGTCATTGTAATTGTTAATTAGTTACTTATTTTAAATTGAAATTTAGTTGTTACTTCTACTCCTAATGGTCACTTCTGAAGATGTATGTTGAAACATACGAAACGTCAAGTAAATGAACTTTGTTTTTTAACATGCGTTTTATTGCCATATTTATCACCGCAGTTTGTGTGTCATGTAAGTCCTGTTTTCAATTTTTTTCTCGCCAAGATGAGATCACCTGGAAATAATTACCCCACTCCCACTCGGGGACTGAAGAGTGGGGGACGGAGGTGTAGATGGGAAACGGAGGTGGGAGAGGAGAGGTAAGCACTAACCTTTCGCAGATTGCTCGGTGACATCTCGTGACTGTGTTCTCTATGTCTACTGGGTGATACCGCATACCACGTAGTATCATGGTCTCATCTAACGGGCCAACCACAAATAAGGCATCATGCCGAGCTGTGAAATACAAACGACATCGTCATGAGCGAGAGAAGCTGTTGAACTGCATAAGCAGCCACCCATAAACAGCGCAATAAACCTAGTCTGCGTGGCAACCGCTCGAGTGATTGTAGGGGAACAGGCACGCGCACTCAATTATTACTCGAACGCCTGCTAAAGCCTGGTTTTCACTAGCGACGCAAGCACAAGCGCAAGCACAAACGCAAACAAAATAATTCTTATTTCACCGTGAAAACGGCCTTGACGCAGGCATAAGCACAAGCACAAGGATCATAATTATTCCTTTTTCTTGTGCTTTCACTTACGGTTGCGTTTGGACTGCAACAAATGAAAACGAGATACCGCTCAGGTATAACACAACCACAAGGATATTTACCACACGTGGTTATGTTTGGCCAATGAAAACACTGGATCCAGATTACCTCGCGCCGAAACAGTTTTTCAAAATGGCGGAGGGTTCGGATAATTTTTCTTGAGCTTGTGTTTGCGTCGAATTTCGTTTTCACTTGGGTCATCCCTACTGCTTGCGCATGTGCTTGCCTCGCTAGAGAAAATCAGGCTTAAGTAAACGTTTACGTTGTAAACAACTAGTACAAATAAACCGCCCTTCTGATTTAAACAGGTCAAGTTTCAAGCAAGATGTCCTCCGTCAAGCAAGAAAACTCTATGGAACAACTAATTAAGTCGTTCAACCGCTAAATCATTCATGCAGTAGAACGCATCCCACCTCCATCGGTCTGAGTAAAATCGGTTCTTTTGATGAATCCCAGATACCCCGTTCGGGCATACGTTACTCCAGTCTCTCCCAGGCCCCCAGTGGTTAGTTTAGCGTTGAAGCGATCTTCTGTCTGGGAATCCTCGCCTGTCATGAAGTAACCGCTGCCATTGTGCGGGCTGTTGACCCAGATCTACAAAATTTGAAAAACAAAAATGCATGATGAAGTTAAGTACATAAATAGGTAACTTAATCATGATTTTCGTGCTACAAAGCATGAGAATAACATGACGTACCTCTCCGAGATGTGAGTCTGCGCACATGCCTTTTGTTTCTGGATTAGCAATCACTACTTTGACACCAGGCAAAATCTAAGACAAGACAAGTCATAAAATAACGATTTATGTAAGAGCAAACGTGATTTTTAAAGCAGCAATACATCCATCCATAATGGTGATGACAGTAAGTGAACACATGAAAAATCATACATTCAGTGTCAGGATACTTAGTGTTTGAAAATAGCCCAAACAAAATACGAGTGCTGATTGGTTAAAAAATCGTGTTTGTATAACTCGATGGAAACAATGAAAAGTTGCCGTAGTCACGTTGTTCGTTGTTTTCTTTAAGCTGTTTTCTAAAAGGATAGAAAACATTTTCTTCTTGTTTCTGTCGAGTTTTAGAAACACTCGTGATAGTTTGGGAAAACCCGAAAAAGCTGCGGAAACACTCGCCTATCGAGCATTTCTCGTTCTCCCAAACTTCCACTCGTTTTGCTTTCTTTAACTCGATGGAAACACGGAAAACGTTTTCTATTTCTTAATTGACAACTAAAAACCGCTCTTACCTTGCCAGATTCCAAGAGGCATAAACTGTGTGGACTTCCTCGTTCCACTAGCGTCACCCTGTAACAGAAAAGTCAGAAAGCGCGAGTCAAAACAAAGTTAAGAAAATTGGTAGTCTTGGATCTGATCACGAGAAATCAGGCGCTCTTTAATGGCCCAACGTGCGTTTCTCAGCGAAGAGAGTCCAAAATGATGAACTGACAACGCAGCAGAAGAGTTCTGAAAATTCCCGGCACGCTGATTAAGAGACAAAGCTCCCGAGTAAAATCGGTTCAAATACGACATAATACCTCACCTGTCGTTTCGTAAGGCCTTCGTATCCACATATACACTAGAGGCTTCGGGAGTCGAGGCACCCTGAAATGAACATAAACGAGTCAGTGCGTGCGTGCGAGCGTGCCGCACGCGTAAATACGTGTCACACAAGTAACGCAGTGTGACATGTGCTCCTTGCACAATTATCGAGAGACAAGTCCGAGATTCATTACCTGCGTGCAAATAGCGACATTGGCTCTGCTTCCAAACGACGTGCTGACTGCGCGAGGAGAGAGGCCCAGGCCAGAGAAAAGAGTTGAAAACGCTGTTGTCAGGTTTATTCTGGGCCGCTCTTCAGCAACCACAACACAGTTCCGAACACAAGTCAAGTTGACGCCCTTAGACTGTGAAAGGAGAAAGACAGCAACATATTAAACAGACACAGAGATAAATTACCAAAATGGAAAAAACATTATCACGAATTTACCCTCTCCGAGATAAATTACCCATCATACCTTGAGTGCCGGTATTGATTGTCCCAGTCCCTTTGTGCATAAATCCATCACGGGGTAAGAACAGAACGTGTCACGAACTGGGGACGAAAAACGGAAAAATGACATCATTAGTAACATCCACATTGACCTAACCAGCAAGCATGGAACAAACGCTCTTTTCACTGCAACTCTTTAATTCCCAATAACCCCTACTTCGACCTTGATTATTCTGGATATCACAAAAACGTCATCCAATAATTGTTTATAATAACATCTATCAAGTTCAATTAGGGGATGTGATGACGCAACACCAGATTCTCACAACAAACATTGTAAGAGATGCATGAAGACTATTTGGGAGATGGTAATAGATGTCCAACAGTAGCCATTAAATAAAGAAAGAATGAGAGATGCGAATGCAGCCATAACACTGGAAAAATGACCTGAAAAAATTTCAGGCTCTGAACGGGATTCGAACCCACGACCTTTACGTTACCGGTGCGATGCTCTACTTACTGAGCTATCAAAGCCACATGAGAGCGGTCGTGTGTGGGTTTGGCCCCATATGTTCAGTGGACGTAATACTCGGCTGAAGTATATGAATTCCATGGTAATAGATGTCCAACAGTAGCATTACTATTTGGGAGAATTTACAGTTCGGCAGCAGTTTACAAAAGGAAACAGTTACCTTTATACTGACTAACTACTGATAACCAAAGAGCTGGATTAGTCTCCAGGTCTCCCGGAGGAATGAGGATTGTGTGGTGTCCAGAATAGACGCTGAAATTTGAAATAAAAGAAATGTCTGAATAAAATAGGATGGGAACAGCAAAGGCAAATTACAAGGGAAAAAAATGAATATTCAAGTATTGGGAGTAGTAACTTACCCTGTCAAACACCAAAGTAGAAATCCTAGTCCACAATAAGGATCAAGACACACAGCGATATCACGAGAAGGGTAGAGCTCACAAGCGAGCTTCATGGAACGACACAGTGCAGTGACTGCTGAATGAGACATCTGCCAAGAAATGGGCAAAAACATTAGTGACTGTCTTAGCTTTGCTAACCTGTCGCAAAATACGAGGTAATGAGTGTAGTCTTAAACACGTCGACAACTGCGGTGTTGAACGTTTGGTTTTGTGACAGTTGAGCAGCACTTTCACGTGGTGTTGTTTCTTATGCTGTATACAAGATGCTTGTAACTTTAAGTTTGCATATGAAACCCTAGTGTGCGACCATTTAAATGAAAGCTATTGAGCGGGACTTTCATGTGGTACTGTTTATTATGCTGTGCAACGTGGTTCCAACTTTCCAAGTCTGTGGATGAAACCCTCGTGTGTGACCATTTAAATGCAAGCTATTAAGCAGAACTTTCACATAACACTGTTTAATGTGATGTGGAAAATAGTTCTAAACTAGTCTGAAGATAATAACGTCAAGAGTGACATTCAAAAAAACCATCAGTGGGTGCATTATTGTAAAACTGACCTTCACTCCAGAAAGCATTCCAGTTGTAGAAACACTAAAATCAAGATAAGCGATCATTTCTGGCGTGGGAGCTCTGTAAGGATTTGTTAACTTCTTTTTAGGAGCATCATCCACCTCCACCACTGTGGGCCATGACTTAATGTCCACCACTCCCACAGCTTCTTTAGATCTTAACGCCTTGCCGATGTTGTGAGTGGTCAACACTGCACGTGACTTGCTGACGTCGATAACCATTTTGACGGTGGGGAGGGTGGAGCTGATGTTGTTGGTGTGAGGGGGACGGACGGGAACTGGAATGAGACCTAAGATGCAAAGTTTTGTCTCAGTATGGTAAATGATTGTGCTGCTGATCTTAGTATTTGATTTTGCAGTACACAATTTAAAAAGTTATTTGCCTTACCAGCATACAGACATGCAAAGACCGCCACTATAAAGTCCACACCTAAGAAGAAAACAACAATGCCAAAAGATTAATTCTCATTACTGATTTTCACATGTTTCTTTAAGGTTAGTTGTGAGAACTTGGCAGTACATTAAGGCAGTAGTCCCTTGTTGATGTATTCCTTCATGTCTGACACCGCACTGATTTTGAAAGGACAGCATAGAAGTTTTCCAATTTTGATATAAAACTACAAGTCGGAAGGCCGATCAAAACACAAATTCAGCTCCAGGGAAATTTAGAAAAGCTCTCAAGGTCCATCAACTAACAGCACGTTACAGGACTTAAGGTAAGAAAAATATAATGACATCTGTAGGATATTTCAAGGAGTGTTGCTCTATATTGTTGCTTACAGTGAAATCGGGTTTATAAGCTATAAACACAGAATTTAATCATCTGCTCTAAAGGTCAGTTGACTGCTTACTGTACACTAAGTCACAGGGATCTTATAGTGATGAACTCGCAAAGAAATCTCAGCCATTCACGGAGTTCACGGCTGAGAGAACTGGAAATGAGAATGAAGACCGACCACTGCACGTAACACGAGTAAGTTACTTTTAAAGCCTCGTACCCGGGCTCTCTCTCCTACGCCTCTCTTGTAAAGAGAAAGAGAGAAAGAGATCCTGCGCACGAGGTTGTTTCAAAGCTTGTGACGTACATACCAGGGGTGAAGAGAAGTGCGACATTATCACCAGAACTGAGGCGACCTTGTTCAACTGCCATCTGCGCTACACGTTCAGCGCGCTTATGAAGCTGGCTTGTAGTCAACAAGGAAGCTACAGTGCCCTGGAATATAAAGAAATAAAATATCATACCTATGCACATTGTCAAATCAATCTATGGGTAAGTCTGTATCAGGGCAAACTATACCATAAGTGACAAGACCTCTCTTGGTTTATATAGCATTAAGCGACTAGAAGTATTTGCTGTATTTCTACTCCCCCGTTGATGGGATGCTGGTACATCGCAGGGCTACCTCCTTGCATTAAGCCCGCAGGTACCCATTTATTCAGCTGGGCGGAGAAAGGCACTGTGAGAGTAAGTGTTTTGCCCAAGAACACAGTGCAATGGCCCCAGCCAAGGCTCGAACCCAGACTGCTCGATCCGCAGTCCAGCGCACTAACTATAATCTCTGTACCTGCTAATCTAAAAGATGCATAAAATATTAGATGAAACATTGCTGTAAAAGCAATCTGTGCTTACCTTGGCGTTCAGTAACGTGAATAATGTGTGATCAGCCATAGTTTGTGCTCTCCACTTAAGAATCTCTGCCAGAAATTGGTACTGCAAAGAGACAACAGTTTATCTATCATTACGCCAACTTGAGTCCAGCGAGCTATAAGGGATTCTGAACTTAGTTAAATGCATGACTGAAAAACAGTCCTGTTCAGATCTGAGAGGAATTTAGAATGGGCTCTTCCAAAATACATCTATACCAACCCCATGGAAAGTCAGTGGAAACTCCGAGAGGTTCTCAAAAGCAAAAAACAAAGTAAAGAAAAGCTTAACGCTAAATTGGAATTTTTAGCCAGGTGGGGAGGGGCCTAGGAGAGGGGGGGGGGGAGGGTAATTAAAACAAAATAACTTCTGTGGGGAAGGTATGGATACTGAAATTGTGTTACCTTTCTTGCCATATCACTGTCCTCCTCTATGTCTGCTATCTCCCTCCCTGCAGCGCCTCCTATTCTTGTCCCCATTACAATGTTACCAACCATTGTAGCAGCAGGACCAGGCTCTGAAGACACATGATCACCATTAATATTCTCCTTACCACTCTACATACATTTCATATAAAACCCTAGGGGGAAATTCATGTTTAATCCACATATCTCACTCTCATCACCGTCCACTTGTCCTTGTTTTTGCACTGTAGTCAGCTATCACAGATGGGGTGGGTCCCTCTCCTTACCCTATGCCGTACAATGGCTAAGTTTTTTTTTTTTCAATTTTTCAATTTCAATTTCTGCGATATTAAGGTAGATCTACACTTATGTACTTTCCCTCATCAACCATGATATCCTTCCTGGTGGTCTCAAGATTCTAAGACAGAGGCCATCTTACACAACGGCAAGAGTAAATTTCCACTCTATAGAACAACGGTTGCAGTTACATTAAGGGGAATATTGTACGAAAAAGTTTGCGTTTTACAGTAGACTTAATGGTTCTCTTTACCTAACTAGCCCTTGCGTGTTTTAAAAGTGGCTCGCATGCAAACTGTTAAAGTCATCGTCAGTTCAAATCTGATTGTCATTGCCATGTTCACGTTATCGTTATTTGGGATGTCACTATGCGGTCCAAGATCTTAACATAGAGTCATTTACGTGTTTAACATGCATGTAAAATGTGATAATCACTTACCAGGGTGTTTTTGTCTTGGCTGAGGAAGGTTTGTGACACACGTGTGAGGACACATCAGGATGTTTGCTGGGTGAAGCGCTCCGTCTAGGAACTTTTGTCTTGTCTCATGAATATGCACAGCACCACTACTTGTCTGCAGGCAAAACAAACACATCGCTTGCTTTCAAACTCATATAATCAGTAACAAAAAACATCAGCTACTTTGTAGAGTTCTCTTTCAAGGGATTTACACCTTCTCGTTGTCAAACACGTGAACCTACCTTTGGTAATCCACCGGGAGTTACAAGACACAAGCAATAAATACCAACCTGTAGAGGAAAAATTAGATTTTAAACACTGGAAAACTTCAGTGCCAACAGGTTAGGCCTTGTTCACATTAGCTACATAACGACATAGCGACATACCGACACAATTGCTTAAGCCCAGTTCACACTAGCGACATAACAATATAAGGGAGAGACTGAAACAATGACTTAACAACATAATCGTTTAGGCCTAGTTCATACTAGCGACATAACAACATAACGACATAACGACATCGTCATGAACGACATAAAAGGGACATTATCTCGACGTAAAAATGACGTTATGTTTGTAGTGACATAATGACATATTAGCAACATAACAGCATGAACATAACGACATAAAGATAAAGCTGATCTTTTCCTCATGTCGATGCCGTTATGTCGTTTATGTCGCTAGTGCGAACCAGGTTTTATGTCTGTATTGTGGGCAATGGTAACATAGACATAAAGACATAAGGTTATGTTCATGCTGTTGTGTTGCTACACGTATTATGTCAGGATGTTCACACTGCAAACATAACGTCCCTCTTATGTTGTTACGTTCAGGTCCTTATGTCGATAGTGTAAACCAGGCTTTGTTTCGAGTTATCTTGTGCCTCGTTTTCAAAACAAGTCCTCGTGCAAAACCTTTCATATGAAAAAATTGATTTGCATGAAAACGAGTCTAAAGGTTTTGCACGGAGACTCGTTTTGACACAGACGTAAAAGGCAACTCTGAAATGGCCTATAAGGCAACAAAGGGGACTTTTGTCTGCCCATGCGCGAAAAAGTAAAAAAGTTTTCTTGTTTTCACTTGGTTTTCGCACTTTTGCTTGAACACGCGGTTTTCGGTGCTGCCGAATTTGACAACCGAACTTTCGAAGGAGAATCATTCTTTAATAGGTCCTCAGTAAGTCATGTAAGGCATGTTACCGTGAAAAGCAATTCCAAGTGAAGAGAAAATTGCCCGTTTCATTTCNGTCCATTTCGAAAGGTGGAATGTGCGAGAGACTGCAATACTTTCTGACTTTCTGACTAACTCTCAGGGCGAAGTTCACCACAATGACAAAGTGCAGTGCACTGGAGCGCCTGGTTGACACATTCCAAGTTACTGGTGCGGTCATACAGCATTATCACAAATCGCTCCAATGGTTTAATAAAACTCTCTACAGAGTCTGGGGTGGCCGCAACAAAGGGAACTTTTGTCTGCGCATGCGCGAAAGAGTAAAAAAGTTTTCTTGCTTTCACCTGGTTTTCGCACTTTTGCTTGGACACGCGGTTTTCGGTGGTGCTGAATTTGACAACCGAACTTTCGAAGGAGAATCATTCTTTAATAGGTCCTCAGTAAGTCATGTAAGGCATGTTACCGTGAAAAGCAATTCAAAGTGAAGAGAAAATTGCCCGTTTCATTTCGCTTCTGGTAATTTTAGGGTCGATAAACCGCTTCTCGTGCACACGTCACCGACAAAGATGGCGATTTCCTTGGGACAAAGATGAAGCAAAGCAAGCGTTGATTCATTTTTGCAGTGCTTTGAAGAGTACCACAGGTCTTATTNTAATTTTAGGGTCGATAAACCACTTTTCGTGCACACATGTCACCGACAAAGATGGCGATTTCCTTGGAACAAAGATGAAGCAAAGCAAGCAAGTCTCCTTTGTTCTATAAGGCTTGATTTACATTGCCCTCTCAATTACAGACCCCTGTTCCAAGTACCTGTTAAATTGTAACACCATCAATACTTACATTATGAATGCTATCAACTGCGGGTAAAACATGACTCATCCACTGAAAGCTCTAGAAAAAGAAAAAAAAAGTCAAATTATTTTATAAACAGTTTTCTTGATAGTGAAGGAACACCTTCACTGACAAAAATAATGAACAGGTCTCATATCAACTCTGAATTAATCATAATGTTTTTGAAGAATTGTCAGCCACTGCTGGACTATATGATTACAAACACATTTTTTTCACAAACAATTACGAGGAAGCAAACCACGTGACAATGTTCTACTAACCTCTTCTTCTGTACATTGTGGTCTTTGTTCAGCCACAACCACTATCCTGTCATCCTTGAGAACATTGACAGAAAAGATAGCAATCCTAAAACAAAGCAATAATGGGTTCAATACATGTATATATGTTCAAATATATTACAAGTTTTAACAACAGGTTGAGTTCAAATTGCCAAACTGGGAACAGAACTTTAAATAAATTGACAGCTGCAAGTTGCTTAAAACATTGGATCAACATAAGGACATTCCATCATAATAATTTGTTGCAAATGTACACAAAAAAGTGTTGGCGTGAATAACATTAAAATTGAATGCCATCTTAATAATAATTGACATACCATAAACCCTCGAATTTCCACAACCCCCCCCCCCCCCCCCCCCCCTCCTCTTAGCTCAAGGTCTGGACCAACAATTACTGTGATTGGCTAACCGGTATGGAATGCAGTTCAGGTTTAAGCAGCGGTTGAGAAGCGTTATGTTAGGATGCAAACAACAGCTGCGGAGAAACTAGATTAGGTAGAAAAANATCGGCCGAAATTAAACTAAGCGCCCCCTCCCCTCCCCCCTTTTTGTGGACGAGTAATGAGACAACAAAGTATGTATAGTTTCCATCCTGTAGTATTAGATTTGTACATTGTTTCAGTTTGTGAACACGTTAAGTTTGAAAAAAAATTACAAATACTAACGGTGCTGCGATTTTAACCTTAGGATCAGCTTCTTATGTTGATAAACAGATTATGTTTATGCAGATATGATGTATTAAAAAATGATCATGTCAGGCCACGATTTGGGAAACATTTAATAAGCGCCCCCTCTCGATTAAGTGCCCCCTCGAATAAGCACTCCCGTCTTCTCCTAAATTTGTAATAAACGCCCCAGGCACTAATTCGAACATTTACGGTATCTGTTAATGTTTAGCTTAAATGACAATAATAATTAACAATTATTTGCCAAAGGCGAAGTGAACATTGGTGAATATTCACCAATGTTCACTGAGCCTGAGGCGAATAACTGTTTTAGTATAATTTTCAAAGGTGAATTTCAAGGACTACAAAATAATGGACAAAAACATAAAAACACAGATGCCATAATATTGTTCATGTGCATATACATATGCAGCTGTAATTTTCATAATAAGCTTACATGCACATCGATTGTCAATCAATTTACTCATCAAGTTCGGCAGTAAAACAAATGACTGAAACACTATGAAAAATAAATTCATCTGGTACCTTTGTTTTATCGTTGTTGACTTCATTCACAGTTGTCATCATCGCCTAGACATGAGTAGCTTTAGTTTTAAGAAAAGTAAATTTCGGTCAATCAATCTGACCAGCTGGTGATCAACAATTCAACGTAACCACTGCGTTTGCGATTCTTAAAAGCCTTGAATAAGAGTTCTTGAAAAGACTTTTGGTCCAAGGGTGACAGCAGTCATTTTGAAAATTCTACATCCTTTCAAATATCCTGGACTTGGAGTGATGTCTTTCAAATAAATGAAAACTTCATTCACCAACTGTTCACCATGTTTACTTGCCGAGATGGCAAAAATGGTGAGCTTAGTAACTAAGCTCCAGCGGGGGGGGGAGCATCATATGATGAGCTTTTCGACCAATCAGAATGTCCAATTCTTATATTCACCTCTGAAAAGTATACTAATGTAAATTATTATTTTATTAATTATTTTGCGAGACACTAACCTGCCTCTATAGACAAATTTGATTGGATCAACAGCTAGGATTGTGGCCTTCAGATCATCACAGTTGTGTCTTCTTCCACTGACTTTGATTATACCATCAGCTGTGCCACACACAAACACCAATCCACCCTGTACATGTGAACAATATACAATTATTACCATATTGAATACAGAAATTTACCTATTTAGCTATGGGTAAAGATTTTCCACACATACATTTTGCCTGTAAATGTATACAAATATTTGGCCCCCTTGAGTTTAACAATCCCTTATGCATCACTAAGGCCTGTCCACATGAGAATGTAAGTTAGAAGAAACGTTCAAGTATCTATCTAACAAGGAACTCTTGGCTCAACACTGACATGTAGCATGTAAGATACTAGGTGCGTTGTCAACATTTAGGAAGTATACAAGACCAGAATAAGTGAAAAATATTATCCATTTTCTAGAATGTTTACGCTTAATATTTTATTTCCAGTGATCATCTGTGCTTGTTTTACTGAAAACCAAAGACGATCAATGTAAAAAAACGCATTTGTAGTCATTATGTAACACATACATGAGGATACAGCCTTACAAGAACTGTGAAACTTCTTCCAAACTGTTTAAACTTTACCATCAGTAAAAACAGAATATGTTGATGCAGGCCTTACATAAATGCTCACACAGAAGCAATGAGACTTAAATTTACAAGTACCGTGGTAGTATCAAAGCCAACAGGACCAAGAACTAAGGAACTAAGAAAACAAAGAGAATCTTACTGGTCCTAGGAATCCCAGTAATCCAGTTCTAACAAAGTCACTCAGAGGATACTGCTCCCATGGTGCTCCATCGTCTAAAGTAGGTTGAACCTGTACAAGAGAAAAACAACAGAAGAATATTATACAAAAATTTTTATCAGCCAGCTAAGTTTGCTCTTTGTTGGTAGATAGAGCATGGTAGATCTTATGCATCTACTGCAATAGACATAAGCACTACATGTATGTCATTGTTTTTTCATATATTCAGTTGAATAAGGACTACACATGTAATTATTTAAATTCAGTAGTGAGACCTAGCAGACAAACAAAAAAATTGATTCCACATGATATAATGTATGTGAGTTCATTTCCTTTTGTGTAAGCTACACTCCTTGCTATTGAGGACTTTCGCGCTAATTGTTTCTGCACATCCTTACTGCGTGTGCAAATTCACATGCCACTTCATGCAAGAGAGTGCGCACTAAGCAATAAAATAAGCAACGATAAGGCAGATGGCCATTGCTATAGCTTTGCCTGGATTTAATGAGCTTGGNCACTGTCCCACAATCCTGCAGGGTCAGTGACGTTAGAGATCCCTCCTTGTCGACTCTCACCACTCCATGACTCAGACCTGATAGAGAAAGGACTCCACGACCAGTGGCAGTTGTTCCTGGCTTGCCTGGTCTAAACAGTTCAAATAACAAAAATAATAGACAACAACTCATGCAAGTTCATGCAATTTCAAAGCTCATACAACTTATAACACAAGTTAATTTCAAGGTACATGTATCTTACAGAATGTACTAATATCTTATGCAGGTTGAGTTACAACAAAAATAACAATGACATAAGATGCACACAAGCAATTCCAAGCATGAGCAATGGACTCTTGGGAGTGTCTTAAATAGTCTTGTGTTTTGTAGCTCCTCATGTTTAATTACCTTCTTAAGGCAACTGTCATTGTTTCTGTAGAACTTGCACATGGACAAAGAGCCTCAGGCTTTAATCCTTTAGCCTCAAAAGCATTTAAAAAAGAGTCACAAGCTGACAAAGACCCTGGAAAAAGATCAAGAGAACCGCATTAATTTCTGACTCCTAAGGAAGTCAATGAAAAGGTATATTATTGAAGCAATATGTTCATTCATCACAGAAGTCAACTCACATGGATTGGCTCTGTCAGCCAGTAACAACATTCTAATGGTACTGAGGTTGATATCTTTCACATCTTTGCTGGCATGCAGTGACCAATGAAGATCTCGTGAACTCACCAAGGCACAAGTGGCTGTTGACATAAAAAAAGAAAATTTAAAGAATTCCTCCCACATAGTTTTGGCAAATTTAAACAGGTGTCACTTAGACTGTCTCACACCTCTGTGTTTTGTTACCATCTGTAACCACATCGCTGGCGCATNTTTGAGATTATCCAAACTCAAGACTGAAGGACAAGCAATATACATATAGACAAAAAATAACCTCAACAAAAAGTTACAAAACTGAAATCAAGATTCTTGTTAATCCTGGGTTAGCTTAATTGGACTTTGAACCATGCAGCCCTGGGTGGAGAGAGGAACTGTCCTGCCAAAGAACACAATGCAAAGCTAATGACCCTGGCCAGGGATTGACATGCCCCCTCAATCCAAAGCCAGTGGCCCACTGCATCTCCCACAAACAGCATTAATAAATATAATATAATATCATGCAAAACTTGGAAAAATGTCTCAACCAAAAGTTTGTGTAGAATGTACATGTAATGCAGTGATCCACATACCTCAATATATGCTGGTGAACTTCTGTCCAGGTTTGAAGGTGGTTGCCAATCTTTTGGATGTCTGTTTAAATTTGCTGTAACAAACCATTGCAGCTTAGGCCAGCCTAGGGTAAAAAAGAAAAAAACAAAACAAAATAAAAAAACAAACAAAATAAAACTCTACAACCATCATTGACTGATCAGTAAAAATTTGCCACAGTATGGCGAGTATAATCTAAGTGAAATATAATTTATTGACATTTTAATGTCCACAGCTTGTTGTGTTAAAGGCTACAAGCAAGCCATGCTATTTAGCCCATCTACAGTCAAGAGTTCTACGCATGACTGTCTTGGTAGAATTTGTCTTGATATCAGAGGAGCAAATGCCACACTGAAAAACAAGTCTTCACGACAGCTACAGGTAGTACCATATGCTACATGTACATGTAGTCAACTGACATGTATGGTAAGTTACATGTAAAACTGAATAAATGTGTTTTGCCTTTAAATGTGGTGACATGTCCTGTATCATCCTTGGGTAAACTTTTTAGACAAGTTTCAGAAGTGAGCGCCCAGGATACTCCACAACTACCAAGAAGAAAACCAATTTGCTGACAGCCAGGGTACTGCAAAAAGAACCTCATGTGTTACAATTCAGTCTGGTAATCATTTACAAGCCAAATTGGTGGCTAAAACCCTACTTGTAGTACAGCACTGGAGACCTTAATCACACAGAAGGTCAAACATGTTTTGCTCAGACATAATGTAATGTCATGGTGGTTAGGAAAATGTAAAGTTGGACATGGGTGGAAATGAAAAACATTCACTGTCAGAACTACATGTAGCACTGTGACTTGATTTTCATAGGCTGCAGCATCTAGTAGTAGTTTTGCACACCCCTGAATGGGATGCTACTGCATGCAGATTACCCCCAGTATTTTGTGATCACTCCTAGGCTGACAGACAGTGTTTGTTTAATAATATCCATTAATTTTATAATCACAGGAAGAGGAGAGAGGCACCGTGAGAGTAATGTTTCTCACACAACTACATGTAGATATAATAATAGTATTAAATTGCCATTCATTTTATTTAGATCAGTACCTGGACTTCAAGTCTGAGCACATTCAAATTAATTAAAGTCTGGTCCTTTGCATGCCCATATTTTAAAAAAAAATTACACTAATTAATATTCTTTTCATAGATCTGGATTGTGGGCTCAGGAGTTTTCAGTAAACTGATCTGGAATTTTAAGATACACCTGTCCTCAAAACTATGATAAATACACCTTACAAGAAGGGCACCCAGACCCCAGACCCCTAGGAGGGTAGAGCCTCAAATGCTAGGATGCCCACTTTTCATGTCATGGCTAAAAGCCTGGTAGTGGAACACTTTTTACTTCTTCTCTAAAATGCATGACATAACCAGGAAAGTATAGCCTCCAACAACAACAACAGCAGCAACAACAAAAACAACAAATAAAACCAATAAAAAGAAGAATTACTGTAGGTAACCAAAAACATGAGCTTACATCTTTGCTTGCAGGTGGTTCAATAGGAACGGGTATTATTCCAGCAATAAGACAACCATAAAAACTTGTCATAAAATTGATAGGGTCATCAACATGATACACCAAGGCAACCTGGAAACAAGAAACATTACATGTGAAACTTAAAAATCAGTATGACATACTGGGACATCCACAGTTCAACTATTTTCGTTTTGTTAGTTTTGTGGGTGGAAAGGACTTTCCTCACTTGCAGAGTGCCAAATTTACAGGTGGATTTTTCTACCAGTGACATAAATTATACACATCAGTCAATGAACAAACAAGCACAGACATTATGTCAAAGGCCATCAGATGTCCCTGAATGTAGAGCACTTTTTGGCAGTTTGGATTTAGTAGTACTGACATGCTACCACTACTAGTAGCATGTTATCATTAGCTGCCAAGTGCCTATTAATAAATGTATGCACAAGATGAAGTGCAGCATTGCTATCCATCAAATATCCTTTGCAAATCAAAGAACAACCCAGGAACTCTGCAATATGTCTACTTACCCTGTCCCCTGTCATAATTGATGTTCCTTCCTTGTGACTGCCAATCTTATTTAGTAAGGCATAAGCTAGCTTCATTGATCTAGACAGAAGTTTACCTATTTAAGAATGAAAATATAAATACTAAAAGCTCAGTTTCTGATTTTCTTATAACATCACTTTTTCATATGAAAAACTGAAATTATGGATATTGTAATTCACTCGAGTACCCCTGAAGTTGACTAAAATAATGTGTGTCATGCCATGGACCATTCAGGGATGCCATTAACAGCCAAAATCCATAACATCTATTAGGCTGAGTATGTTTGGTGGACCTATGATGTTAAGGGTGAACTTGCCTGTTGTTGAGAGAATTCACTCACAAGGTAACAAGATTGTTACAGGTGTGAAGATCAAGTCCACAGGTGACTCGAAAGTTACTGACAGCCCAGAGTCCATGTGTGTTTTATGATCTACAAAACTATTTCAGTTGAAAACTTGTGTATAGTATGTAGTGAAACCTGCACAAAGCAGACCCCCTGTTCATCTTCTATGAAGCAGACTGTGACCTAAGTAGACACTAGCACTCGAGAGTCCCATGCATCGGTATCTACTTAAAACAGGTTTCATCGCAATTCGTGAAGGGTAGAAAAAATAAAGGGGGATATGAATAGAGGAGAAAGTGATGTGTGAAAGTGAAAGTGAAAGTGACTTACCATATGTAAGAGAGACGTTAGTTTTTCCATGACTGTCCACAACAGAAAAGCAGGAAACTTTTGGAGATTTTGAAGCAAACTTGCTCACAGACTCCTCTAAATTTTTGGGTAGATCCTCAGCTACCTGTGAATAAATGACAGCAATATGGGTTCAACTGCCAACGAAAGAAAATGGTGTGAAAATATGTGCCAACTGCAAGACATGGTACACATGTACTGTATGTTATGGTTCAATTTAACCCTTGATACAATTTGGTGATTTCCCTTGATCTGGTGTATGGTAACACATTATAACGTATATGAAATAAAGGAAGATACCAGATTCTGCCCTGTGTAATAATTAAGTCACATCATTTACATGTACACTCAGCTTATTTTATGACCTGCAGCACTGACTACATGTAAGTATCAAATTAATCAACACACTAGTTACCTGTAGAGATTCTCCAGTGACAGGTCTCAATGTTTGTCCCTCTGGTCGTGGTGCATTTGGATCGGGTTTAGTTGCTGCAGTAACAAAGATACAGTGTGTACATGTATATAAAATATTTATTTAAGTATTATACATTCTGTTATATTCAAAGTAGTCAGCATATATGTAATGCAATTTACACTTGAAATATGACACAATTTTGTTGTGGCCCTTTCTCTCTCACAAACTGCATGAACATTTGAATCCTTCACATATTGATACATGTGCTGTAGGATTTATCCCACAGTGGGATTATGATGGTAATAACTCTTCAGCACGGACACCTCCCTTGTCCATCACCTTCTTGAGGCAGGGGAAACTGGGAACAAATTGACATGTTTGTGACAGCTACAATGTACATGCAGACAAACATGATGGATATATTTGCGGGAGATATAAATAATATCTTTGTGTAATTTACCTTCAAGAAGTTCGTCGTCATCCTCTGTGTAAAACTGTTCTAGTGGTTTTCTTTTTGGCCTCTGAAAAGTTCATGATAGGCTTAGTGAGGAAATCAAACAATAATAATGAAATAACAGTCTCAGGGTTTCAGGGTACAAAAGAAATAAAAGCTTCTGAAAGGTCTTAAAACTATGAGGGTAAAGATGGCAGTGCATTACTAGCTATGTAGTTATGACTGGCAGATCATATAACTTTACCTTCAGAGTGTTGAGAAGCTGTTGAATTTTAGTTGATACTCTACTGCTTGTCACTAAAACAAATAGAAGAAACAACATTGAATATTTACTTCAAGGTACAACCAATACATGTAAGTACTACATTTTCAGAATAGTTCATAATACATGATGAGGTGTTGACAAGCTCATATAGAGAACTCATTCAAGCTATGTACGTCACTTTTTTCATATATATTATATATTATTGGTTCAGTACATTTGAAGCTTAGAGAAATGATGATGAACTTCTGCAGCACAATCAGCACAATGGATTCCTGACTTTGAAAAATACCTAATATATAACTACTTATTATAAATGATTTCTCTTTAATTAACCCTAGGTTTCTCTAGGATGACAAAGATAGCAAACCCTTTATAATGATATCTCACCTGATACTTGGCCGTCATCTTCATCGACTGTCCGCACTGATGACATATGCATCACTCGACTGCCTTTGGTATCAGTAAACTTATCGGCAGGGGCCTGCCTTGTCAAGTCTGGGGGAGGGGTTACTGGGGGAAAACTGCCAGAGCTATGTCGATGCTGGAAAAACATGTCAGAAGGAGGAGAAGGAAATTCCTCAGAGCCTGCCCGAGGGATTGAGGTATGGGAACTAAGTGAACCTGGAGGAGTGTAGTCACTTGGTGGCAGGTTTCCTATCGAGTCTTGTGAAGAGACAGATCCTAAAAGATAGAAAATTAAGCAAACTTCAGGATTGATTGTCTATTGATACATTTACAACGTATCCATGTACAGTATATGTATGCTTGCTAAAGGTAGGTAATGCCTGCATATGAGCCAAGTGGCCCATCAGGCCGGCACTTATTTCCGGTTTCTGTACATAGCATGAAGGGACTAGGAGTATTTCTACTCCTCCCTGGATGGGATGCTAGTCCATTGCAGGGTTACCCACCAGCATTGACTCTAGAGTAGCATTGGCCTAAACAGCTGGCTTGTACATAATTTTATACCTATTATTTTACAACCTGAATGGAGAGATGCTGTCAGGAAAAGAAACTCAACTGTGACTGAACTTGTGATCTGGCAAAGTGACTTAAGAAAGGTGTCAAAAATTGTACAATTTGCACGTGCCCAAAGGATTGAGACTGGCCATGGTGAGAACATGTAAGTGACAGGCGAGCTTAAATCCATCCCTGACTGTGAAATGTTAAATGTCTTGCACAAAAACCGTAACAAACAGTTAGTATCCGTTGAATCCAGACCTCTGACCTCTAAATCTAAACCTTTATGTCGCTATTGGTCACTAGAAAAGCCATGCTGATGACAAGTTTCCTTAAATTTGAACCGGACTTACCAAAGCCTCCATGAAGTTGTGGCTGGGTACCATTCTCTACTGGTTTCCGTCTCATAAGCGACTGTCTTTTGAATGGAGCTGGCATGTCAGGATCTTGCGCTACAGTCAGTCTTTTTGCCAAGGCTGCCTGAAGGGCCTCTGACCTTTGAACTAGAAAGATGGACAAAATATACAACAGAATGGTTGTAGACTACATGTACAAAACATTGTGCATAATCAGGGCTTGAAAAAAGTGCTGTCCAGTTGTCCGGGACAAGTAGATTCTCCTTTGGGCAAGTAACCTTTCATTCTCACTTTCCTGCTGGGCAAAGGATCATGCAAGTTGTCTGCAACTAAATCATTAAAAGAGCAAACTAAGACTTGCCCAAGTTTGTTTTTTTTTTGAGTCCTGCACAATGTTTAATTATCATATACAATCATATATTTCAAATAACAATAAGATGTTAATGTTAAAGCTAGCACTAAGTAACAGGATTTTCAACAAAAAAGCATTTAAGCCTCGGCTGGGTCCTTTTACTATGTGATTCAGACTAAATAACAAAATAGTAAATAAATAAATAAATAAATAAATAAATAAATAAATAAAAATAAATAAAAATGAGCATTCTCGCCCTGAAATACGGGCAATAAGCTCTTGAATGCAGATTTCTAAGCCAATCATCTGTACAACATGTTCAAATTTCCTTTGACTTACATTTCTGCATATATTCATGTAGCACGGAAGGACTTAAAGAAAACAAAACAACTCATATCTCGCATGAACCAATATGCAGCAAATTTTCAAAACATTTCAGCGCCATGTATAGCTATGGTAAATGACTCAAAAATCTAAGTTCTATGAACATGTACATACTGTAAGTCATAAAATGGTACAATGTACTGTTCAATTTCTAGCAAAAAGAGGAAGACAAACAGATAGACCTTCCAATTGTGGAGAGTATACTGTAACAATAGACAATCAAAATCTAGTATCACAAACCCTTCCCTTTTCATTTAAATACCCTCCAAGTTTACTAATCTAATATGAATATCAATAATCACATTTCACTTTAATTATTTGTGGACTTCTATGTACATGTACATCAAGGTCAAACTTGTGATCATAACTGATGCTACCACTAACAAGTACATCGAATCACGATTCAGTTTTCACTGTAACAAATGATTTTGAATATTTTATTAGGTAAGTTCTATTAATAATTTTATAATTTAGTCATTGTGCAATGTGAAGTAGCTGTGACTAGTATGCATTTTCAAAATTTGTTTGTCACCCTGGACTAATTTTCTAGTAAAGTAACACCAATTTGCTAGTAGCCTAAAAGTTGAATACGCCAGACATCTGACTTGTACAAATGAGCACATCTCTACCTTCGACAACCAATTCAGTAAGGTGCCAACAATCAAGGAATTATTACCTTTTGGTCTCCACACAGGAAAACAACTCATCTTAAAACCAGACTCTTCCAAATTACAGAACAATTGACAAGGTTAAGCAGAATTTGAATGTCCTGCATATATCTTGGGATTGAAAATGTCTGAATTTATCCCCAAATTCATCCTCTAGCCCACATGAATTTCAAACAGTCACCGATGCAGGCATGTCTTTTTTTAGTCCTCTCGACATCCCAATATCATATCACGATGTGCAATATTTAAATACAAATGCACATAAATGAAAAGGCAAAAAGTATCACTGTGGGTTTTAAGTAGTGTGAGTCATGATTATTCAACTTTAAGATACACTCGCTGGAAATGTTACATCCATGTCAACATTGTAAAAAAAATGCCCTTATCTGATTTAACAGAACACATAAAAACATGACTAGCATTATAATGATAATGCTTCTTAATATGTACATATGTCATGACATTGGTTCAAGTAACGAATATAATTATGCTAACAAGAAGACCTGTCAGTGTACCCCTCAGTCTTCTTCTTCAACCTTCATTACACTGTATGATTGTACAGTACATTCCCATGTTTTTGTTTCAAGTAACTTTACTTACCAGCACTAAAGTGATCATTCATGTTTGGACTGCTTGGTGAAGCAACATTTAAATCTAAAAAGACACCAATAATATCACAAATTTAAGCTGAAACCACACAGTCTGCGAAAGATAAGTAAATAATACAGCAAATGATATATTGTGTTTCTAGAAACCTCAAGGGGGTTATATCATACAAATGTAGAATACGGAGCAACCAAATCTAATTTGAGCACTTCATGACGGTCGTGACCACAAGTTTAAGTAGTATTTTGTTTTTCAAAGAGAAACCTTCATTAATTCTGCAGCTTTTTCTCAATGATTAATACCACCAGCTTGTAGGGTTGAATACTGGAAAAAAACAATATCACTTAGTGATATATTGTTACTCCATTTTTTTTTTACTTCAATTGGTAAATATTGCTTCACTGTAATACCGAAAGCAATACTAACTGAACTCATCTTAAGATCATTGGTCAACACTGCAGTTCACAATATCATGAATACACTTTCAAAGATCAGTTTGTATATGTGTAGTCCACAGCTGTTAGCGATGGATTCATGACAATGTAACATCACATGTCATTTACTTTTATTTAAATACTCATCTGATCATGATGAAATCGAAGAATTATGAAGAACCTTACTTCAAAAGGACTTATAAAGTGAGTATTATTTTTTATCTAAAAATGCCACCATATATCAGATTCACAATTACATGTAGACACCATAATATGTAAAAACATAAACATTATTTTTCAGTAGCCAATGTTTTATAATGTTAATAACAATATTAATAATAATTTCAGTGTTTCACACAGTACATGTGTATTAGAGAATCTTAGAGTCTGCTGCTCAGCAGTTTACAATGAATGTAAATTACTGCGCTTTGGTTCAAATCAGCTTCCTTCCTCCGTCAGTTACACAAATATGATGTTTACTAATCTTAGCTGTTTCAAAAAGGGAAAGTACAGTCAATTTATGTACTGGTCAGCTCTTTGTAACAGAACTGATAACTTCTTAATATAAAGAACATTTTTTTCAACAATTTCTTGGAGTTTTCAATATTATATTGGCCCATCAATAATGTTGAATGGGAGATGTGATTTCTTCTGTCCCAAAGTCCACTATCCAAGACCACAGGCTTGGTTACTAAACTTTCTAACCTGACGGCTGGCATGATTTGATACTCGAGAGATAAAATTGTGCTCAGACCACAGTGGCGCTAACTTGCATCCATGTTATCACAAGCTTATTATTTCTCTCTTGACATCACATTTCTTTAATTTCATGATGCCATAAAAACAGCATCAGCATTTTTTACTAACTCAAGTGAGACTAGTTCAATTTACTAAATATTTAAGTGAGAGTACACCCTCTTTAACCATTCATGTTGTGAGGGAGTCAGACCTGGACCTTATCTGAGTTGTGTTCTTGGGCAATACATGTGATTCTCACATGAGTCATATCCTGCCTTTCCACTAAGAATATCCTTGAAAAATGCTACTGCAGAGGCTATGATGGGCTAGCGCTGTACCAAGCGGGAGTGGCATGTTATGCTTTGGAAACTGGGATATGGTCTGGCGATGTGAGCCAGTTGGCCAAGTACAACTTGAGCTTTTAAATCAGTAGCTATTTGTTTCAGGAGTGACCAGGACCTAAATTCTTAATAAGAACATCAACACATATGGGTCATTCCACAATCAATTGTACAAATTTAGTGAGAGAAAAATCATTTAAAAAGATACAAAAAATAAAGTATAATTCCCTTTTACTTTGTTCATGACAGATGGGGAAGAGTTGCATGTTTAGTTGAAAACTCGTCAAATGAGCTCTTTTCCAAAAAGATATATTTAAATAAATGAAGCTGTCATGGACGTTACAGCTGAATCAACCATGTTCTCAAGTGCAAATCTTAAACTCTAAATTCCTGTGAATTCTGAAAGCATAACTTGAAACCATTGATATTGTTTTCAATGTAAATGGCAACAATAAAATTATGAACTGATAAATATTTCTTTTGTGCTGTGTGTCTACTTTGTTTCATAATAAAACGTCATGGATGTTACATTCCAGATCATGGACGTAACAGTGTGTGAAAAAGATGATGAAATTAACCAACATTTTCAAATTTCAATCAGGATAGAGGACATGCATGAAAACCAGCTAGGGCTGAGGTGGCTTTCTCTCTAAATATTATAATTTATTACTTTATTAATTTGTTTTATTGTCATAGACATTACATTCCAGATGATGGACATTACAGTGCATGAAAAAGATATTAAATTAATGAAATTAATGATATTGAAAACATATTAAATTCCCTGTTCCTTCTTCTTTTCCCACATATATTAGAAAGCTGGCCAAGAAGCTTGTAGATAAGGTTTTCCTAAAAATACTGCCTTGTTTCAAGCTTGTCTGAACATATTTGATCAAGACAGCATAAGTTACTAGGTCTTTTATTGACAGTATCTTTGCATGGTTTGTGACTAAGAACCTTTGTTTAGTTCCACATTCTTGCAAACTTAAGAGACAAAGTAGAAGTATTATATTCAAAGACATTTATTATAAAATTTTAATCACAGAGCCATATTGACCATTTGCTGTGTTCACTTTAGAAGATGAAAAAACTTACACTTTGACATTTAGTTGACTGTTATATTATTTCAAAATAAAAATGAGCAATAGAAATTTTACACAACGTTTCGATGTCGTCATGACATCATTATCAAGTGACAAGAAAATAACGGTTCAACAGTGTTATATATGCTGTGAGAGGTGTGACTGTTCATTAACATATTTGTTTAAACAAATAGTTTCGCGCGGATGGAATCCCATTGCGTGTTCAGGCTAGGTTTCTTCTCTCTAATAAACAGCATTTTGTAAATCAAACAATCCAGTTTTCCGTTGCATTTCTTTAGGACAGAAAAATTATTGGCAAGGTCGTCGATGTTATAAAGGCCGTGATCGTTCTTTAAATGCTTTCCAATTGCAGAGAACCTGTGTTCATCAGTACGTTGGTGCAAATACCGGCTGGTATACCCGACATACTCTGCATCGCACAGATCACATTGGTAATTGTACACTACGCATTGTTGATTAATTAGAGGTGGTTTTGGTTCARGCATCTTGAGATCTTCACAYARTTTGCGACTCTTGAATACTGGTTGAAGAYTGTGATCGATTTTCTTGCTCAGGTCAGATAGTTGTTTTTTCACTGCATCGGCCGACGTTTGATCTTTAAATGGCAATACCACTCGGTGAACAGTATCTTCGTTGACGGGTAGTTGAGGTGGCATGAGAGGATCTTTGGTCATCATTGTAGTGACAAAGTGAGAAATGATGGAGTTAATTAGGCTTTCAGGGTACTTGAGGTTTGTAAACATCAGCTTCAGGAGATCACATTCAGTCACGAAAGACTCCCATGTGGATGACAGGTGAAAAGCACGGTTTAACATGGTTTTAACGAGCAATTTCTTGTACCTTTTGTCCACATGGCTTTGGTGATGGAGTAGTAGGCCAGTATTTGTTGGCTTCCGGTAAACACTGGTTTCTAGTTTGTGACCTTTCTTAAGTATTTCCATACCACTAAATGGTAGCTTGTTGTCAGAAGCTAGTTCCATTGTGAAATTTATGGATGGGTGACAGTTGTTACGTGTTGTTAAAAAGGCTTCTGCTGCTGGCACATCCTTCATCGTAGCAAGTGTGTCATCGACGTACCACCTATAAAACTCTGGGAGCTTGTTGTCATGTTCTAATTTCTCTTCGATGGAGCAGGGAAAAGCGTTTGCCATAAGGGGTCCCAAAGGTGAGCCCATTGTCACTCCGTCAGTCTGTTCATAAAGCCTAAAACCTAGCCTGAACACGCAATCGGATTCCATCCGCGCGAAACTATTTGTTTAAACCAATATGTTAATGAACAATCACACCTCTCACCGCATATATAACACTGTTGAACTGTTATTTTCTTGTCACTTGATAATGATGTCATGACGACATCGAAACGTTGTGTAAAATTTCTATCGCTCACTTTTATTTTGAAATGTTTATCGAATGTTATATTATTGTTATTTATAATAATTCAACATTGTTTTGAATTCTAAGTCCTCAATTTTTGTTGAATAACAAAATTAAATACTAGAACAAGGGTTTTAGGGCAAATATTACCAAGCTTCTTGCATTTAATGTTGTAAATGATGAAACATCCATGAATGTAATGCCCATGATGTAACGTCCATGACAAACTTAACATCAAATTTTTTGAGTGACCTTTTGGAGTTGATAGGTTTTGTTCTCACAGATATTTGTTACTTGGTGAAATAAAAAAGCATCTACTGTAAGTTATTTTTTAAATTAGGCTTAGAGACAAGCCATGAGAGAGAACAATCGCTTTAAAGTTCATGGACGTTATGTAACGTCCATGACAATATTTTTGACGGTTACACATTCCTCTGAAAAAATGTAAAAAGAAAATACCTGGGTTTTCAATAGAGAACTTTGGTTAATCAAAACATTTAATGTTACACTTGATCATTACTAAACTCAGTTGCTTGAGTTATGATCAAAAGATGATTCCATACATTACACCTATATAGGAGTCTTTTCGTAGTTGCTCACTTTGGGTACCCCCCTCAGTAGTGCATGGTGCAATCCACACTTGGTCATGTTTTTTTTTTAAACTTCCGTTCTTATGCATTATGGCTCTGCACTTAAAATCCTAGAATAGTTTATTTTAAAAATGGTCTTTTTCTTTGTTCTCATGTGGAATGATCCATATACAGTATATTAACTATAACCAACAGGGCTGCAAATAACTTTTTTCTCTTGAAAGGACATATGTCCTACTAAGACGTCATCTTGATCAGACAAAACAAATTGTGGTCGGACATCACCAAAAAAAACTAAGATTTACACAAGGTAGCTTTTTATTCATCCTTACCATAAAATTCATGTCCAACCATAGTTGGGATTTCATCGGACATGAGCAAATTTTGGTTGGCCAAAGTCTGATGACCGACTGTTATTTGCAGCCCTGAACCAAGCATACAGATCAGGAGAATTTTGTAAGTGATCAACAAAGATAAACTCGATATTGCTCTCAGAACATGTTGATGGTCATTTGAACAAATCCTGCCCAGGGCTGTCATCAAGTTTTGAGTCACCTGTTGCCTTGATCATCACACCTGTATTAACAACAGGCAAGTTTACTAGTAACATCCGTGCTCCATTTAGTATACTCAGCCGTAACAGGTGTTACAGGTAACCATCTTTAATGACAGCCCTGCAGGCCACTGAATGCATACAGATTAGTTCAAAGAAGTTGTATGTTGATGTTTTGAATACATTGTAAAGATGAGTGTATCCCAAACACAGCTCTGTTCTCACCTCTTGACAGGTATGGACCAAGTAGTTTGGCTCTTTTCTTTTCATATCCCTTCTGAGTGATATCACCTGAAAGAGAACTCAAATGTCAGCTGCATCCAGTGATGCTAAGGAGAGAAACAAGGCAACTTTCAAATGATGGAAAGTATGAACTGTACATGGATACATTTTGCAAGGTTTCTCTGTAGATAAACGCTACCTTGTAGTTATTTACACAAAGCAAGGAATTTAATGTCAACATCCTTCAGTAGTGCCTTCAGTTTTAAAATAATTTGCATGTCTGGATTACTTTACAGGTCCCTTACACCTTAATCAAATTAAAAGCTGTAAAATTAGCTTCAAGTTACTAAATATATATATTTTTTATTTTGATGAATCTATAAATATTCCGCAACTCCTCAACAAGAATGTCTGAATCAACTGTGAGGTTGCTTATTTTATTTTAAAGTAATTTAACACGAAGAGATCCTTTCCAGAAAGTTGCCATCGAAGACGTTTACATGTTAGAGACTTTCTGATACTTGATTCCAGTAAAATATAATTATATACTGTGTACATCAGAGCAAAAACATTGAATGGTTGCAAAGGAATTGCCCTAGCTCTGAAAGCTTGAGGAAATTAGAAATCCCAACCAGGCTTTTTTAACTGATCTATAAAACTTTATAACAACTCTCCCAATCCTTTATGAGGTGTAATCCTCCGAAGAATTCTTGAGAAAGTAGACCAAGAATTATTCACACCTCTCCTCAGATAAAAGATCTTGCGCCCTATTTCTTAGCCAATATTTACTTGATTTCCCTAGAATTTTCTTTCTACTAAAGCTCTTAACATGAGTTATAATGATATGTACTGTAAGTGACCAAAAATGTTTTGGACCAATCTTGTCCTTCAAGGTATACAAGAAACTGGTGATTATCATGTGATGTAGATGTGAAGCACTGCTTCTTCTCTCAGGAGCTTTAACAGTAATTAAAAATTCAGTAGAATGTAAACACAATAAAACAGTTGATGTTTTTGTGTGTACAAGTATGTCACACTGAAAAAAGAGTAAACAATTTGCTATTTGCATGAGAATTCAACATGAAAAGAATCCTATAAATAGGAATAAATTATGTTTAAATTTAATGGAAATTCAGTGGCATAAAGTATTATTTGGTTAGTGACACAAGTTGTAACATCTACTTGGAAAAAGAATTCTAACTTCTTCCAGCAGGAGTTGAACCAATTATGAACTGAAGTTTGTTCATTGTTTGGATGCCCTACCACTGAGATTAAGGAAACTACATGTAAACTGTGTTTCTACCAAGATTGATCTAATTCTTGCAATATTTGTAGACTATAGACCACAGACTTTCAGGAAAAGATTTTATAGACTGATAGATGTGCATACATGCAAATAAGAACTTTTTTCAAAGACCATTTAGGACAAGTGACAGTGCAATTTATGTTTAAGATTATTTGCAGTTTAGATTTTATTTACTCCTATTCTACTAGATCCATCAGCAAAGTACTCTTTCATAATATTTTACATTTGGAAAGGGGAAAAGTATTTGTCAGTATATGTGTAATTTATGCATAAGCCAAATTGCTGACTGTAATTTTATGCAAATTATAAGCTTCAGCAGGTTTATTTATCAAAACAAACAATAGCGTTCAAAGCTGTACAACAATTGCAAGATTAGTTTTGCACAGAAATGGTTTCCTCTGCATCAACTTTGTAAAATTTCCAGTAAACTTCCCATGTCTACAAGAAAATATAGCTTCAAATATTTACACAAAGATCACAGTAGCCTTCATCTTGAATTCGATTCATTCGTAAAAGTAAAGTTATCTGCAGATGATATTCTGTACCAACATTCAACTTAAAATAACGAAAAATAAATCGTGCCATTTTGGAAGACTGTTATTAGCTCTTGTGACAAACTTCAGACTATCACAAGCAAATAAAAACAAATCATTCAACAAATATTACTACAAACAACAATTCAAATGAATGTTTAATTCTCCAGTTCAAAGTTCTCTTTGTCGGTAAAATATGCGTTATAATAAACGATAACATTGCAAGCTTATCATGGTTTAGTTTGGCTTGTAACGCCTTCAAGTGTGAAAACAAAAGATCGACATTTGAAGTTGTCAAAATTACATTCGGTGCATGGTAATCGGTTTATGTTTAACCCCTGTAACATGGAAGTCTTCATTCTGATGATCATGCATTCTTTCAAAATACCTTTCATGTCGAGATCGCGACGTGATACATCGATCTAATTGGAAATTTCAAAACGAGAGAATAATGTATCTACATCAATTGAAAGTTACTCAACGAAATAAACTAAGCTCACTTATGACGAGCTCTCCTTTCGCAATAACCATTTTATTTTCGCTGCTTTGCCATTCATTAGGTCTACGTGAGCATTTAATTTGGAAAGTTTTTGAAATATGATGTTGACAAAATACTTCAGCAAGTCATGACCATACAGGAATCAGACCTTTTTATAAATTCATGACTTCATAAATTTTAAGAATGATTTTAAAAGCAAGCGATGACCGATGATTTCTTGACCTGTCGAGCGATTTCGCCATAACATGTCACAACAGCATTTTACGCTCAAGTTTTCACGAACCAAAAAACAACGGCAACTGTAAGATGCCCTCAAATCCTGTTAACCAAAATCTGCTAAAATCTTAATAAATTTCAACAAGTGAGGTTACACTTTCCGTTAGCTATGAGCTTATGTAAGGTTCATTCCAAGTCAGTCCGTGAGAATCACTCACCTTCAGCAAGCTCGGCGTTCAACTCTCGCAATTTTTCAAGCACTGGAGGCGGCAAGGAAGATTCTGGAGGCTCTGCCATACTTGTGGGTCGTGATTGCAGCAAAGGTTCTGAAATAAAAAGGAAGAAATTTACGACATCAAGTGGGCGAGGCAACAGTTGTTCAACTGTGTTTACGTGCAGCACTCTCGAGCGATCGAGCGAGGAATACGCTAGAGAGTCACGTGACAAGTTCTGACAGGCTACCCAGCGTTCAACAGGACTCCAGCTCCATTTCCTTCATGGCAAAATAATTTGGCCTTGTTCTTTACTTTCGTTTCAGTTTTTAGAATTTTGGTCTAAGTAAAAACCTTTGATTATGCATAGTTTGTATTTTGTTTAGCGCTCTTTAGAATTGCAACAACTAGATCTAACACTCTTTTATTATTGGTGGCTTGCGTTACGTCGTGTTGTTTGTCACGCACTGAGAATCAAAGAACATTAAATTGAAGCCAGGGAGTTTACGTAATCGCATGCATGATTGTTTTTTTAAAAAAATGTTTTCCCTTTCAAGCTGTTTGAGATTTTGTTCACTGGTCCATTTTATTCGGCCTTTCAGATGACTATAATAAGCAAACAAAATTTGGCACATATATAACAACTACTTGCGAGCAAGATCCTGAGCATATGCCATACATAGCTTTTGAAGGAAGCTCTATGCAAACTAAGGGTCTCGCAGTCTCGCTTTTTTTTTTTTTTTAGCAGTTATGTGCATCTCGCAGTCTCGACTTTTTAATAAAGCTCTCTTAGAGTCTCGATTTTTTTTCATGCAAGAGTAAGAAATTATTGAAGTCTCGATTACTTGTTTGTTTACGTAAATAACATTTGAACGTCTTAGAGTCTCTAAGTCTGATACTTCCTTTTAAAACATTTTGAAGTCTCGGTCTTGCAATTTAGAAGGTCGTCTCTGTCCTGGGTTGCAAAGAAAAACGCTAGTCACACCTTCTCACAAAATCTCCATTTACCATTTACTACCCTAGTAGTCTATAGCGGCAAGCGCAAATAAAAAATAAAAAGGAATAAATAAATGATATAAATAAATAAATAAATAAATAAATAAATAAATACAATAAATGGTTAAATAATCTACTTAATTTTTCCAAGTTTCTAAAGTTACTAAAATAGAAAAAAAATATCACAAGTAATAGTTGAGGGCATCAGTTTGAGCCGGCTTTTGAAGCGACATAAATGATTTAATATCCACAGGTTGAAGACACCGCCGGAAATAGCGACAGTTAAGAGTAAAATTCTGCTCTCAATTTGTTATAAGTGGAATATTACTGCAGGTTGGTATAACACGTAATTAGATCTCGTATTACAGCAAACAATTTTCTCCATTTCCGCATTTTCCCATTCATTTGATATCAGTGTTGCATTCGTCTCAGTTTGTTCTCTGATTATTTAATTTACACAAAATTCACTGTAATGATACTCAAATTTATTCACAAATAAGTCCTATATGTAACAGGTGTATTTCCATAGCAAGAAAATTGAGACAAAAAATAAGTTAAGAAATGCGATATTACTCCTCGACTAGACTACGGAAAGGAAACAAGATCTCTCCTGATGATCATGACTACATGTTGTGATAAGTTTAGCTTTGGTGAATTCAATTCTGTATCCGTTGAAATGAATCCTCTTGAGGCAAATGAAGGTTGTTTATAATTACAAATATCTAACATCATGGTGGTTTGTTTTAATTTCACTTGAACCTACGGTAGCGTTGCAAATCAACCAAATATTTTTCTAAGATAACGAGGTTTCTTTTGTCGGCAGGTATAACACTGTAAATTCACTTTGTTTTTACTTGGCCACCGTTACCACACGCTATGAACAAGCAGCATTTGTGTCGCGTGGTGTTCAGTCAACCACATTTCCGATAAAAGACTTTCTCTCTGTGGGATATCAATTCCTTAATTTCCAACTTACTTTTCACAAAGAAAACAATTTGACTCCCTTACCGTTGAAACGAACAATTCGAGGATACGACCAGCGTTTGTGAGCAGCCATTATCAACTGTCGTGGTCACATGCAATTTAACACGTTAATGTAAAATGTGTTTTGACAATAGGTGCAAGCGACAAAGCGAGGCGAAAAACCGGAATTATTTTTAAGGGTTGTTCTTAGTTGTTATGACGTCATGCGAGCAATTGTTTTGACAATTTGACAATTAAAAGAGCTCCACGTGGAATATTTACCGTATAAAATAACGGAGAACAGTTTATAAACAGGTAAATTTAACGGCCCGGGTGGAGTGTTGATTCTGGGTTTTGATTGTGTCATGGTGTTGGTTCGCGTTTATCAAATAAAAAAATCTGGCAAGATACACAAACTTCGAACCATTCAAAGCTATAAACGTACACGTTTACTGCTGGATACTGAGGAAGATTCTAAGGAAAAGGTAACTGTATTCAGTCACGGGTTAAACACAGAGGTAGCCGGATCGCATGAACCTCTCTTTATATCTTCCCATGTTTACAAGCTGTATACACGTATGGTGTTCCGACATCCTGTTCAGGCTACAATGGACTGTTTTTTCGGTGGACGGTATTTGTCACTTGTAGCTCGGGATTCTCGATCCAGAAAACTGGTGGAAATCTTTTAAAAAAATAAATTGACTTTTGAAATGCAAACAAGACAAAGCTATAACTGTCAGTAAAGCTGTTAAGGTAAAGTCCGCGTATTGCCAAGCGGCCCATACAGCTAGATCAAGAGCTGACCGAAGCTCATCCCGGTTTCCTTAGCATGAAGCTACTAGGAGAATATCTACTCCCCCTGAATATGATATAAGAGAGGATGAATGGAAGATAGTTCAAACGGATTCCGCTCAAAGTTCGAGCGATAAGTGCAAAAATTATTTACTAAAAATCTACTCATAGCACGGTAACTTTTGGAATACTATTTAAAACAACTCACTTAAGTTCATTTCTCTAAATGACCCCGCGATGAAATTCGCAAGCATTCTCGAGAAAGATAATGTCAAACCTCGTAAGAATGCTTAAAGAGTGTGTTCTTGTGTTTTTAACTAACGCGAAACGTCTGTTTTAATTGAAATATGGATAACTTCAAGTTCAATTAACTCTCGCGGGGTCAGCTTGAGAGCTTCAGTCTCGATAAGTTCTTCTTAGCTGTATTCAAAATGTTACCATGCCATGACGTTTTTTCTGCTAACTTAATTTTTGCCATTATTGCTCGAATGTTCTGCGGAAATCATCTTAATCTTCCATATAGGCCTTCTTCCAAAGTAGCCCCTCCGCAGTTTTTTTAATCCTACGCGGGTCTAGAAATAGCCAAATTTTGCTCACGTGGACAGCTCAAGCGGCTATTTAGGCATTTACATCCTTCACGAAACATCCACGCAATGTGCGTGATAGTATTATCCGCAGAAGAACTTTGTACTGTGTCCAAACCTAACACTGAACGGGACTATGTTGGGGGTAAGGTCTATTGAACGATCATTCCACCCGCACCCTTTGGATGTATATACGATAGCCTCCATTTGGCGTGAGAATATGCTAGCAAATTTGTCCGCGGACATTATCTGTTCCGAGAAGCGATCCAAACAAATTTTCTCGCCAAATGGAGGTTATCGTGTTTTTATCCGTCAAATATTTTTCGCAACACGTGCAGTTTTAAAAATTAAGGAATATCACTCGGATATTCCCCAGTTTTAGCTGGAGTATTTTCAGTCACGTGACGCGCTTAGACCAATCGCGCGCGAACGTTAATATATGATGGATTGTAAGAAATGATAGATAACTAACGAGGCGAGTATCCAACGCGCGCGGGTGGAATAACTGTTTTATTAAAACCACCCCCAAAATAAAGAAAACTGAACTAAAATTAAAAAAAAAAATAAACGCCCCAAAAAATTACGTGTACCTCTACTATATTTGTGGAGCATTAGTGAAGCTACGCCAGGAAGGTCAGATATTTCCAAAGTTTTGCAATGTTAATTCTCGTCTCAGCCTATTTTACTTCAGACTTTCCCACGCCGAGAAGATGGAGCTGGACTGGAACCGAATCTCAATTTTAAAGTTTAAGGACAGTGCCTACTAAATACAAAGGTCTTTGAGCCAGGGTAGGACCACGCGGAAAAAGTAGATCTTTGCAAGGGCTATTGGAATCCCTAAAGAAAAAAGGGGGTAGCTACACATTTTTCGAGATAATTAGCCTTGAATCTCAACAAAAATGCTGACATCAGCATTTTTCTGAGAATAGAAGGAGAGGATATTTCTGCACAGCTTTCTTTAGAATTCGCCTTTACATACAGAAAAGCAAACACATATATAAAGATCTGAAAACTACATGGTAAATGGTAACATAAAAACCATTTTTGGTATGTTTTTAATAACAAAATCGTTGCAACAGCGCTTTTAGCTTCTCTGACAGCCTTCCTCTGTTTCAACTAAAATACAGTCTAAATATCTTTTGCTCACACCCAAAAACTAATCACGTGCTGAATAGGCTTGCCACTTCCATTTCATAACATAAAATATAGGGGTAACCACGCGTTTTTTAAGTTATTGATCCTTTTTGAAACTTTTTACGGTGCCCGTTACATTTTTTCCTGTCACCTCCCCAGTAGGTAAAACATTTGCGTATCTCACACTTGTTTTGCGCGCGCACTACGCCATCTGCAGGTACATGTTTACAGCTGGATTTCAGTATAATTTTCGACAGATAATAGCAAGTTTTTCAGCTGGAAGACGTTAGCAGTCCGTGGTTAGCGATATGCTGCTGTTCTGGTGTTCCTGGTTTAAGAACAGGTTCATTAAACTTGATTTGGTCACAGTAGGAAAATTTTGCTTTCAATTTAGTCGTCTTTAGTCGGGTACTTGGCCGTAGCGTAGTTGATTGCGTCATGTCAACCCAGCGCGCGCGTGGCGCTTAAGGTTACAGTATACCTTCAGATCGGAAATTTTCTTCAAATTTGGATTTTTGGCTCAAAGTAATGGTCGAAAAGTAATCTCTAATTTCTGAAAACAAAATTGAAAAAAAAATTAATATTGGCGGAGAAATGGAGGTTTTACGTTATGGCTGGAAGTAAAAGTTCCCTCTTGATTGACAG